AATTACAGGATTGTTATTTGATACATGATTCATAAATCGTTCTATGCTTCTGTGATGTGTATTTTGACATTTGAAAACAAAATATTTTTGTCATTTTAATGACATTTGCAAATTATAATAGGTACGGTACCGGATTTACATTAAGATTGCTAATTGAATATCTAAAGGGTTGTGATTATTTTTATATCTAACTGCTTAGATTCCAAAAAATCAAAAAAATTATAAGCGAATTGTAAAAAGATCGCAATGAAAATTTCCAACAACAACTATATTGAATAAAGATTGAAATTAAGCTTTTGGAACGCGGTGAATGTTTTTAGAATAATGTAAGTATTATTGTGAAAAACGTGTCTTCTGCCTTAGTTTTTTCTTATTTAGTGTCAAAAAAACGGAACGTAACAAAATTTAGATAACTGCACGATTTAAATAGTTGATAATTGCATCCGTAAAATATTAAATAAAATTCGTAGCAACGACATTGTAAATATCATTATGGGCATCACGCAAGGCCCAAAGTGCATAATGTCAAGAGTTATCTGAATTCACACGGACAACGAGTGCCGGTACAGACGTACAAACAAGTCGTTAACGTGTGAAGACAACAAATTAAAAATTATCATTAAAATTATATTGTTGTATTGTAAGTTGAAAAATATTGTCACAAAAAAATTTCTGTTGAATAATCTTGTGCTGGTGATGGTTTGAAGTTGAAAATAATGAAATACGTAATTAAAAATGAAATTATAATGTATATTTCAAAGTGTCTATAGTGAGGTAAAATTTTTTTTTGACATTTCTTACATATTTACATATTTGTTACCCATTGGTACTTAATTTATTATTTGTTTAATGGTATGCACGGTATCTGAGTTAAAATTTTCCGAAAAAGAACGGTTTTTATTAAAATATAATTACTTTCAAGTAATTTGTACTATTTTGGTGAAGTAGAATGCTTATTTATTAATATCTATATGATAATGAATCGCTCAAATTCCAATTCTACGCGCGTGTATCGCAATCACAGTACAATAAAATTACATAACTTAATGAGTACGCATTTGAACTAAATGACGTTATGAAGACAAACGAATACAAACACATTACTTACCAGCTGTTAAAACTATTACATGGCTGTATGGTGTGATATCTTTGCGCTAAAAAAATTCTTCATTTTGATTTTCAACTTTTTTTAAAGTCAAACCCAGAGAGTTCTCGCCTCGGACTATTTGGCGGGAGCACGTGGAGCAAGATGGTGTGAAATGTTTTACTTAGTAAAATATTTTTTTAATGGGAAAATGAATAAACTACCTCTACACGTGGCTTCTTGAGTTCTTTCGAAAAATACACTGATGCTTGAGTTAAAGCGGTCCATTTTACTGGAACATTTTTCATCATGTCATTTCTCATTCAATTTCTCACCTAATTTATTGCTATTTCAAATAAAACATCTTCATTTCATTGCGCTCGGTTGAATTTTTATATAACAAAGTATAATAAAATATGTATGTTTTTATAATAATAATTTAACAGTAAATAAATTCGACGCTCACCATATTGGTATCCCAAAAATCCGAGTACCATAATGAAAAAAAGTTCTATTCTTTAGATCAAATATTAGTGAAGTTCTGAAATCGAAAATTTAAGATTCAATAATTGATTTAAGCCGCTAATATAGTTCGCTATTTTGCCAAACACTATTAAATCCCTTGCACTCTCCCTTGCTCCTCCCTGGGACTCTTTAAAATAATAAACTCCATGGAGTGGTGCTTCTATATAAGGTTTTATTTAAGTTTATCGCATAGATGACTTAAGGTCATACTCATCTGATGATTACCGAATCCCATAAAAATCATATATAACTGTTGTCTTACCCTTTATAAGAAAGAAATAGGCAAGATGATGGCACTTATCTGTGTGGGCTTACAATAGGCCATAGGAGCGTATACTAGTATTTATGACTATGATTTTTCTTTTTTTCTTACATGAACCTATACTTATGCTTCACCATAAAAGTTGAATGCGAAGAAGTTCACTTAGAAGAATTTACCATAGTGTTTTATTACTTTTTAGAGTTTATTGTGTGCACACTTTTTCGAAGGTCTTGGCGATCATGAGACTCACAGCGAGAGACTCGACCTTGTGTCTGCTATTCAAGGTCATTAAAATATATAAGTCCATTGCAATGATAGCTTTTATTTTTGATCGCATTAAAGACAATTTCAAAGATATTCCAACAGATAATTAATAGAAGACTAAATTCAAAGTTTAAAAAAATACTAGTGGTAGTCGAAATTCGATAATAATTAATTGAAATTATAAGTTTGAACATTATTATGGTTCTATTGTCAAAGGCTACTTATTATACTTCTTTAATTACAGATTTCGCCAAGACTACACTATAGATAAATTATATTAAATATAAACAATATTAACCTCTTCTCAATATGACCACAGACTTTACGCAATAACAAAAGTTTAACAGTAAACAAAGAGTATATATAATAATATGTTTGTGTGTCAAATATGGTTTTTTTATTGATTTAATGTATTATTAATGCATAATTTAAAAAAAAAATTAGCATTCTGCACTCCTTCTCTATATTCTCTCTATAAGTGTGGAAAATTTCTCCTAATCCACCATCCGTGCAATTCTGGTAAAAAGGGGTATAAAGTTTTTGCTTCACGTATTGATATATTATAGGTATTGGTCATAACGCAAAAGCCTCGTGTGGTATTCGAATGATACCAGTATAAACATCATTGGGTATAAACGTGTAATGGCGGTAATGTGTGCGAAATCAGAGGGCAAGGTCGGCCAAAGGTTGCCGATAATAATCTACTATTTTGAAGGCTACTGTTCACTATTATGTTCACTATAAAGTCCACGTTTCTATTTATTTTTCTCGTTATATTATACTAACCTTCCAGAAGTACATATTTTTGTATATTTACTAGTGGTAGGACCTCTTGTGAGTCCGAACGGGTAGGTACCACCACCCCGCCTATTTCTGCAGTAAAGCAGTAACGCGTTTCGGTTTGAAGGGTGGGGTAGCCGTTGTAACTATACTGAGACCTTAGAACTTATATCTCAAGGTGGGTGGCGCATTTACGTTGTAGATGTCTATGGGCTCTAGTGACGATTTAACACCGGGTGGGCTGTGAGCTCGTCCACGCAACTAAACAATTTTTTTTATTTTTTTTAAGTATGTTTAGATGAGAAATTGTATGGAGTAGCTTTTCGAGTTAGCCGTCTAGTGGAATAAGAGCTCACTGTTTTGCATCAGATTTAATCAGGTGCCGTGAAATCAACTCTTGCAAGACACCGTTAGATAGGTCATTACGAATGCAGGAGGTGTCTGTCTGGTCAGCCCGCCAACCGAAAAGTACGTGTCGCCGATGACCGAGGGTTTAGAATCCCATGGGACAGTGGCTTTAATTTGAACTAGCTAGGGATGTACGTTAAAATTTCTCCAAAACCCTTCCAGGCGTGTGGATCGAAGTGGTTTTTGGGTTCAACCCAGTTCAACTCTCATGCATGTGTGTGTGTGTGTTCAACGTTCATGAAAATTGCTAAAAAAATTGTATACATACATATATTTGCTTGATTGTTCTGAAAAGTGTTATGCGGAAGTAGCCAAACCGATTTTAGTAAAATTATGTTGTACCTTCCTAAAGCTCGAGCTGTTAATAACATCTAAAGGAGTTCTAAGTTACGAAGTAAGTACTATTATTTTGAATTTACAGTATTAGTAAGAAGCATGATCGTTTTATTCGTCCGTAAATTGTTGCGAAATTTCAGACAATTTAAGCTTCAAATGATCGGATGTTTCAACCTTCGTCACATCCCTTAGACTAAAGATTTTTTGTTAAATTTCAACAAACCAGGTTGAGTAAACTACTGACGCATTTATCGTAATGCATTGTGCCATTAGAAAAGAAAAACCCAAACACTTAGGCGTTTGATTTAACTGGTAGTAAAGATTTGTACTAGGTCGAAAAATTTTTTTCTTTAATGTTTGTAAATGTATCATTTTATGTAAAACACGTCTTTAATTTTTCAATTCGATATATAACGCGCATATTATATTAAATTATATTGTATTATTATATTATTTTCTACGTAAAGACGTAAGATAATTATAGTAAAGCAGGCGAGATTAAAACCGTAAAAGTTGTTTGATTTATGTCTACGACTCGCGAAAAGGGAAGAAAATACTAAACTGATATTATATATCTTTTAACTTCCCTACATAGTCGCTGGTAACCTAAAGAGATATTCCAGGTTCTGGCGAACGGGTAGATGAACTCACGGGCTTAACCTTACAGAATTTGCTAGCACTTGTCCTAGCAAGAGTAGTGCATCGCAGAATTTACCACCGGATCGGAATCGCAACGCACTGAAATCTGGCGAGAAATCCAATGGGCTGTATCTATCAGTTAGTTTGCTCGGACTCTTCGTCGTAATCGACAAATTCGACGAGGACAGTGACCGGTGCTTGAAGAGCCTAAAATCACCGAGAGTGGATCCGGGGGATTCGACAATCGCCCGAGTCGAATATGTAATTAGCTGCGCCCACGATAACAGGGTTATCGTGTCAATATCTTTTAACATTAACCAAGTAAACATTGGTAAAATAAATATACGTATATCGAAAACCTTTCTGTTTTTTTTTATTCGGTTATATGCATTTTTCTTGCTACCTATTCTAGTAACCTCGAGGGGTTATTCTAGATTCACCGAACTAGTAGGTGAGCTCACGGGGCTCAAACCGGGACTGTTGCTAACACTGGCCCAAGCAAGAGCAGTGCTTCGCAGAATCTACCACCGGATCGGAAACGCGACCCACTGAGAAGATCCGGCGAGAAACTCAGTGGGCTGTGTCTATGGGTTTATTTACTCGTCGAGCCCTTCGCCGCAAGCGAGGGTTTCGGCGAGGACGGTGATCGCTGATTGAGGTGGATATATGCAAATCTCGGTCTAAGTTTAAATATTAGCTTACCATCAACTTTGGTATGATGCGGCGAGGGTGGCGCTGATTCGACATCGGAGTGTAGACTATACGAGTGTTCTGTTTTGATGGGTGCAGCAGCGCCTAGGGCCGCATCTGTCATTAATCTATCGTGTAGCACCACGCCGGATTTGGAGTCACGTTCGATCAGCCAGTCGGACCTTTCATCTTCATCCAAGATATCGTGCATCTCCTGTAAATGGAAAAAAAAGTTGCTCTTATTGCTTTTTTTTATAGGTGCATTCATTTATTTCAATTAAAACTATGGAGTCCAAAAACCGTTCTTTTATTCTTTACTCTTCATTTCCAAGCATCGCTCGTAATTTTGCAATGATGCTTGGAACAGAAAGCCTTTTAGAGTCTATCTCCACATATCCATATATTAGTTTAAATTCTCATTATGGTGGTTAATTGAATTTATAAAGCGAGATGCATGCTTTTCACTTTGTCCATGGAAACAAATGATCAACAAAGCTTACTCTGCATTGGACAACAGTCCAATACGAAAATGTTCTGTGAGGTCGCAAGCCAGAGACTTAATATACAATAATTCGCAATTTACTTAATTTCAATGTTTGTAAGTGTTTTTAGTTGTCAACATTAAAGGGCACTGTAAAACGCAATACCATAATTATACGATCGGTGACCCCGAGTTCTGTCAATAGTTGGGTCTATTTGATATATTATACATTTGATACAATTCTGAAGATTGTTATTCGGATTGTCGATAATTCTGACACTGACTACTCAGAAGGATCGTAAGTTCGAAAGCCCTAAAACCAAATGGTGACCGCCTAATGTGATTAGCGCTTCACTAAATTTAAACAAGATTCTTTTTCATTGTTTTTTTCCTTCCTCTTTTTGTACTTAATATCAATCAATACCCGAACTACTCGGCGTTAACTTCATTAGTAACTATTCCCCTGGCGAGTACCCCCCGTTGAGCGGTAATCAATTCGTTTACTAATGCTTACCGTCTGATCAGACCCTTAAAAATACTGGCTTAACTGATATTTTAGTGTTTTCTGAAGTCATTCAATGTAGGTTATAAAAAAATTAAATTATACTGATCCCATACAAGTAATAAAAGAAACCATTGTTATATATTTTAATTCGGGTCTTTAAATTCGACTGTGAGAAATCTATTTTTTGGTTAGATGGCTCAAGCTGATTGGGAAGAGAAAATTATTATTTTCAATGATGTTGGACTGCCTTCGAATTATTTTTAGTTATAGGATATTGAAAGAATAATGGCCTACAAGTCCTTCACAAAGTGTAGTTGCTACGGTCAAAGGAACACGATTTAAAATTCATAGGCTTTAAATAGAGTGACATCTATACGTTGCACGATTAGTAATGCTGTTTATTTTCGTTCTCGGAACACACAATTAATTTAAATCAGAATTAATATTCTAGAAGCGTTACGAAATTCGTTGAGGAAAGTAATCGAGTTATTTTTTGTCTAATGCTTTTAAAATTCATAATGGAAATGTTTTAAGACAAATTAATAGCGATAATACATTTTGCAAATCCAGCGGCCATTTGTACAAATAAGGTTTATTGCGGTTTCAAAGCAAAACAATGAGAACCATGTTCAACATTCCACCATACATAAGTAACAAATACGTAAATCTGGATTTGAATCTGAGAACAGTGAAGGAAGAAATTGAAACATACAGCAAGAATTACCAAACACGACTTGACCAACACGTTAATCAGATAGCTGCAGAGCTGCAGGGGAGGGCAGCCTAAGATACTCTCGCCTGAAAAGGAGTAGTGTACCACCTAGAAGAAAGATTTGCAGATAGGAGATGAGAATGGTACCACTGGGGACACAACTCAGCTAACTCAACTTTTCCTGGTGAAAATCTGATATCAAATTAGATTATTGTTTTTGAAGAAACAGATTGCTAATAATAATAATAATATAGCTCTTTATTTAACACCACATGTACAGAGTAAGCATATAAAACAAATAATAGTCGGTGACATAAATTGACGGCAACCTTGCAGGGAGAGGAATAAGCAAACTGGACCGTGCTATATCTTAATAAACCTACATAAAAATATATACTTATATACACACGTGAAAAATAAATACAATATAAGATAGACTTACATACGATTAAATACAAAAAATATGCAAGTAAATACAAAATAAGTAGCAACTTGTACAGTTATATTGTAGGAGCCATATGATTGTGCAAGGTAGGGCGATTTTAATTTGAACTTGAAAATTTCCGGCGAGGACGATTGTTTGATGCACGATTGCTAAGTTGTAGAATAGAAGAAAAAATATATTAGGCGTTTCTTAATTTGTGCGTCTATCACACGTATAGTCCCTCATCTTGGCCGCAAGTGTAACGCGAATCAAATTAGATTATTGTTTTTGAAGAAACAGATTGCTAAGTTGCAGGAAAGAAAAAAAAATGAGGCGTTTGTTAATTTGTGCGTCTATCACACGTTTAGTCCCTCACCTTGGCCGCAAGTGTAACGCGAATAGACGAGTGAACGAACGGCCACGGTCGCGCCGGTTAGCCGAACTCGGTCGCCGACCCCAACCGCTTTCCGAATAGTGATGAGCTTCCGAAGACACCATAAAACGAACAGCGAAACATTTACGACCATAAATAATACTAATCAAATCAAATCAAATCAAAAAATTGTTATTCAACACTAGCTAACCCGGCAGACTTCGTAGTGCATCAATCGATAAATAAAAGACCTAAAGTTTTGTATAAAAGAATCCGTCAGACGGGAGACACATATAAGGAAAAACAAAATTGTTATTTTCATTTAATTCCGAGCATTTTCATATTTATCTAAACCTTTTAAGCCTTCTCTAGACTTCCACAAATAATTCAAGACCAAAATTAGCCAAATCGGTCAAGCCGTTCTCGAGTTTTAGCGAGACTATCGAACAGCAATTCATTTTTATATATATAAATAGATAGAGATAAATGAAAGTACACACTTGTTGAAAGTCAAAAAGAACTACCGCCAATTTACAAAAACTAGCCTGGCAAGAAACTCAGCGGACATGTGTTTTTTTTTTAAATATTCATATCATCATCATCATCATTATTCAATAACTGGTACTGATACTCGTTTTAGCACTAAATTTGGGTCCTATTAAAACTAATAAGAAACCAAGAGTAGAATGTATGTTTTCTTACAGAAAACAACATTATTTGCAAAAATGAATTACGTGTTTATTGTGCTGTGACGAAATACGGAAGACGGCTAAATTAAACTCAAAAATTTCCGGTGCTCAACATCGATCAACTTTCTAAATCCGGTCTTTATTTCAAACGTTCTGTAATATCCACATACATGTCTTATTATTATTGCATAGATATATGTGATTTCTTAAATGTATTCAAGACAACTTAAATTTTCGCTCGAACGATCCGTGCGTCGCTTTTGTTTTCAAAAATACGCTTCGACAGTTGCCAAAAATATTGAGGGTATTGAACCATTGATGCTGGAGTGGGAAATACCAACTGAACAGGCTTTGTTTGGAACGTGATCCTAATGTTAATTCTATTTGGTATGCGGGTTCTCTACGCCCAAAAAGTCGATAGCCTTATTTAAATATTTTAAATACATTTTATTTGGCTTTACGGTGAAATGAAAGCCCAAATTTCCACATCGCATTGCTGTCTATCGGTTTTCTCATTCAAATTTTAAAACCTTTACCGGTTTAATTATTATTATTGATATTTTAATTTAGTCTTGTATACAAATCATATTAGTAATGTTGTAGTCCATCGTGTCGATTAGAATTTGTAAGAATTTAAAACAAAACGTGTTAAAATAGCTTTATTCTTTCTGAGTAGTTCGAATGACATTGTAATAAGCAATCTACCGAGGTTGAAATTTTTTCATATCAGTTATTTAATAGGGTAATACGTATTTAGCACGTATTCTATAACTAATTCCACAATAAAAGATTAACATTAGTATAAATGAAGCCGCGAAATTTAAAATTTGCAGAATTACTGACGGTAGATCGGATTGTTGGCTTGCATGACGTAAATGCATGAACTGCCTATTTTGCCGAAAATGAGGTCCGAGATTGAAGGAATCGTCGGCCGTTCGATAATAACATTTGATCTTAGATTTAAAGTCTCTTGTTAGATGGTGTATTCACATTGTAGATGGCTATCAGTTGTTTTATCTAGAGAACCTATCGAGTAACGATGCTTGGCCGTCAGTCAGTGTAGCAAATTTATCTTTTATTTTTTATTGCTTAGATAGGTCTTGAGCTTGCGACCCATGCTGATGTTACCGGAGCCGGTAAACAACGCTAAAGCTACCACTCAACTTGAGATACGCTTAAGTTTCAGTTTTATAGTAGTACAACATCTGCCGCATCCGTCAAAGTGAAACGCATTAGTGCTTCACAACAGAAATAGGATCCGTACGGGCTCAACAAATTCCCTATTAGCAATATAATCACCATAATCTATTACCACAAACTGCTCTACGCCGATGAGAGCTCTGATAATCGTTTTTTTTTTCTCAACAGGAGAAAACACATACCCCACCCGCGCGGCAGGTGGGGTATGTGGGAGTTGAACCTCACTAGAACTCCTGCCGCTCACAGCCGCCGCCCTACCCCGGACCGGACCGGAGCCCAGTCTACTAGTCTAGCCTAGTCTACTAAGACGGCGGGACAATGTTGACGTAGAGCATATTAGATCCATACCGCCGTCCCTCTGATAATCGTTTAGCTATATTAAGAGAGTGAGCTCGACTGCTCAAAAAGAAAAATAAATAAGGTAGAAATAACATAGTCAATAGATTTTATCATGCTGATATTATAGGTCAATTCTCATAACAATGATTCTGTTCTCATACGCAAAACTGATCTCACTTCTCGTCGTTTGTTAGCTGAGTGGCATGCACGATTGGTATCAATTAAAAAGTGATGTAACCTCAATGTAACACTACCTCGTTTCAATGCAACTTGTTTTGGAAACACGTTCGCTGTTCACAACACACTTTCTATTCTTTAAGATGCAAATAATACGACGTGAATTTGTTTTAATTAGCACGAACCACACTATTACTGGTCGACTAATTGTTTACTTTTTTTTTTTGGTAGATTTTATGACTTATTTCTTTACTCAAATGAGAAAAAGTTCGGATTACGTTTTAGGTAATTCTACACACTTGACATTAGACTAA